CTCTCTTACCACGTAGGGCAATGGTTAAACTTTGAATAAAGGTGTACTTCTTCATATTTTTAAGGCAACTTGATCATTTCAGGCGGCAAAGAGAACTTCCTGTCTTTCCGACCTCATTTCCTGTTTCTAACACAGCCCTTCACAATAAAAGAAAAATGATTTATAGAGCCACCTAGTGGCGTGGAAGGAGTGAATCCAACAGTATTTCTGCGTTCGTTATTTCACATTTAGTCAGTTGTACACAGGGTACTTTTAAGTGTTTATAAGAGGATGTGCTAAAAGGCAGTTTCTATGCAAGAAATAGCACGTAGAGCTCAGTTATTGTTTGTTAGTGGTGCTCGCTCAGTCATAGCAATAAGATGAAGTATGTGATGTTTTTTTTATTTTTTTTTCTGTTTACTTGAAGTTAAACATCAAAGCTATGTAATAACCACTGGCCATTTGAGGACCACCATAGCGCTCACATGGCCCTCACTGATGCTTACAACCCATCCATTATCCCATCCCTTCTTCTTATCTGTAAAACAAACATACCCCACACACATAATTTACCTTTTTTTAACTTTTGCTGTGCTCTTAATCCAAAAACATACACACAGACTGAGATGCACATACGCACATCTTGATTATTCCTCTTTTGTTGCTTGAGTACRTCACAGTTTCCACTTCATCCACCTTTGCCCTCCAACATCAAAATCTAATCTACAACAGATGCTCAAGCACATAAGACAAACACATGTGCATCCATGTACAGTGTGTGGTTTGCAGCAAATTATGCACTCTGAATCCACACACGCCATTCATCACACTCTCACCCTCTCTCCCAGTCCTCCGTTCGTCCCTGTAGCTGTGTGATAACCACAGAGAGTGACACAAGAGGACAGCCAGTGGCTCTGTGAACGATGCTGCTGCAGATTATGTAACAGCCATAGATTAAGGGAATATCCAGCAGATCACTGCAGGCTCACAAGAARGAGGGCAAGCACCACAATGAAGCAGAGTGGGGGCTTAGAAAGCAAGCCTAGTCCGTTTTTACAGAGCAAGATGGAGAGATGAATGTTAGTTGTGTGTGTGTGTGTCTGTCGTGTGTGCATACGTGTATGTGTGTTATAGAGTTACAGTGAAAGAATAAGAGAAAGAGAGAGTAGGAGTTGGAGGGATGCATCATGGAAAATGACTGCTTTCACCAAATACTGTATGTAGGAGGGAAGGCTCTTCATGACAGAGAAGAAGGGAGAAAAAATATAGATATATCACCAGGAATAGAAACAGTCATGAGTTAAAAGACTTTGACCTGTTTTGACTGTCAACTAAAACCACAAGAGGAAATCTTACAACTAAAGGTGTACTAATGTAACGAACATATAAATGCAAATATAATAGTTCACACTGACACATTGTCAGCAGTGTGAGGGAGAAGGTGATATGCTATAAGATGCAAGGAACACACTGAATGTGCAACATTTGCACAGGAAAGAAAAAGAAGATGCATAAATACACAAGACTGGTAGATGATAAATTCTGTTTATAGAGTGTCTCAGCATTTTTACATCTGTTTTCAAGCTCAAAAAGTAAATGTATTGACAACTAGAGTTAAAAACTTACAAGTTTACAGTCATTCATTACATTACTTTTCAAATGAATATTTCTGCTTTAGTTAAAATTTGGATTAGCCAGAATTATTTTGACTGTAGCGTGAATAAAATAATGTTAATATGGACTGGACAATACAGCAGGTAAAATAGGTATTGAACACATCAACATTTTTCTCAGTAAATAAATTACTAGAGGTGCTAATGACATGAAATTTTCACCAGATGTTGGTAACACCCAAGTGACCCATACATAAAAATAAATCAAACCATAAATGTCCAGAAATGAAGTTATTTGTAAAAATGTGGAATGGCACAGAGAAAATGTATTGAACACACTTACTGAAATGTATCTAATACTTTGTACAAACGCCTGTGTTGTCAATGACAGCTTCAAGACGCCTCCTGTATGGAGGCATGCATTGCTCAGGTGTGATTTTGGCCCATTCTTCCACACAAACA